TAGATTCAGAACTACTCAAGATGAAGAAGCTTATATCATGACTACAGTCTGGTCATCAGGCAGTTTTTGTTTGTTTGTTTTTCTTTCCCTTGGTGGCAGTTATAGTATCTGTAAAACAGCTCAGGAATATGCATCAGACACTGAGTCTGTGACTCTATTGTCCTAATCATTAACTGCTCAGTTTTGTACTTGGGGGGGAGGGAGGTTCTGCTTGGTTCCAGAATGACATTTCGGTAACATACATGAAACGTCTTTACAGACCTTAATCATAAGTTTTGTAGATGAGAAACAAACTCAAAGGGATTTAACCAGCTTACTCCAGGTTGAGTTGGGATTCAACCATAGCTTATTATAACCCCAAAGCCAGTGGTTCCCAAACTACCTGAATATCAGAATCACCTGAGGATGACACATACAGATTCCCAGGCTCCATTTCTGGATAATTCTGTGGGTGGATCATGGGTAGTGTCCCTGTATAGTCTAGTATCTGCTATTTGTGGCTTATTTTTATTTTCTAGGTAGACTTCAGCCAAGAAAGGAAATTAAACCAAAGTACTTTATTTTTATAAGCCAAGGAAGATGTGAATGGTTTAATAAATCTCATAGCTTATCTTGAGCTGCTCTTTTCTTCTTCCTGAAATGGATCATTTTCTCTATCAGGCAAATGATATGGAAAGAAAAGCAGAGACTGATGCAGTGGCTGCCATGGTGAGCTTGTATACTGCCTCTGGACGTAATGGGGAGGAAACCCTAATCTATAGCATTTGCCAATTTCTGTGGTGTAAATACTCCCACCATTTTCAAAATTGTCAATTTCAAACTACTGATGGTTTAACAACCTGCTCACAAAAGTTCTGAATATTTAACAATTGGCCCAAAAGCCAGCTTCAGGATAGGATACTACTGGGTATAAAATACATAGGGGGGAACTGAACAATTTCCCAACATTATCGATATTGTCCACTACATGGCTCGAATTAGTCGCGTGGTCCGAGTTGGTTGTGACCTCCCCAAACATCAGTCTATCTGTTGCTCTCCTGCTCTGACTTCCAAAGGGACCTCGGTGGCCCCGCTCCTCATCTCTCACTCAGTTTCCAAGGACATGCTCTGATATGGGCCTGGGGAGTAATGAAGCCATGGAAGGGACTAGTGGGTAGGGAGCATTTAGTGGAAGAGAAGTGGATGCCGTCTTTAGGAAGACTACTCTTTCTTCTTACCTGCCTTATAGCAGGGGCAGTACAGCAGGCGAGCCACCCTCTGCTTGAGAAAGGCTTCTATCCTTAGCAGGCCTTGCAGGACAAGGTGGGAATGACACATGAAACAGAGTTTAAGGGAGCTTGGCTCTGAATCTGAGAGGACCAAAAAGGGCTGGGTGTTTCTGTGCCTCCACAGGAGAAACACGCATAAGGCCAAGTCAGAGTACAGGATCAACATTAGCGAAGATACCATAGTGAAGATACCACTGGCTTGATTTTAATCCATGAGTTAGGCTAGAGGGGCAGGCTGGTTTCCCAGGCAGGGCACAACCCTAGCTCATCCAATGACAGAGACTGTTCTTTTGCCTGGAGTAGCCTTTGTGCCACTGACTCATCTTAGGAAACAGCGACGCTGGCAGTTTGACAAAGACTGGGCCCTGAGCACGCTATCGTGACTAATGCCACCACATGGAAAAGGACCCAAAACATATTCCCAAACCAAATGTAAATGATTCTAAGATCACTTACCGTTTTAGATGATTTGTTCCTTAGGTAAACTTCCAGAAGTTGTGATATTTTGGGGGTGTCTACAACTGCAACAAAGGTACATAATCCATCCTTGAGCTCCTTGAGTAGCCAACTGCAACACTACTTATATGAGAACAAACTTTTTTTGAATGTTAACTCACTTTTACTCTGGTTCAGTCCATTTGTACAATAACTCATTGCCATATACTCTTTTTCCCGACTAGACATAAAGATGTTTAATTTATCTTCTAAGATGACAAAGTTAAATTAACTCCCAAATGAATCAACCAGAGAGAAATGAATCACAGTAGGACTCACAATTTTAGTATAAACTCTAGAGCAGGCAGCGTGGGTAGATTTCAAGTAAAAAGACCTAGATTTACTCCACCAGCTGTCAAGTCTTGGTCCAGTCATTTAACCTAAGAGGGTTTTCCCATCGGTAAAACCAGGATATTTATACTTAAATCTCATGGTAACATTTCCTGCCATGTACTAAGCATGTTTATCATGTTCTTTGTCCTTAATCCTCAAAATCATCCTTTAAGAGTGCTTAACTTGGAGTTCAGACTCCCACACAGAGATCGAGATGAGATCCAACATGAACATGCCTTCCCGTACACGTGTATGAAATTGAATTGAACAAAGTCTCCCATATATGTGTGTTTGTGCATTTTTATCTGGGTTCTCAGCCAGGGACACATGAGAATCTCAGGATCTGGGGTGAAGATGGGGGTAAGGAAGAACAGAGGCAGTAGGTGTGCTACTTCCATTGTGATCCTGACATTTGCTCCCCTGTCTAGTTTGTGAGATACCAATTTTGACAAAACGACCAAACCACCAGTTTATAACAGTGATTTGGGTGTGTACCATATACGTAAAGTAGAAGTTATATTAAAGATGAATAAAAATGGAATTACCTAGGATTTTCCAGAGAAATTAAAGCACATGTCTACAAAGATTTGCACACAGATATCAAATATTCATTATAATCCGAAACTGCAAATAACCTAAAGGTCCACTGTGAATGAGTGGATTAAAAGGAAACATAGGTGCCCAACACATAGATGACTCTCAAAAACATTCTGAGTGAAAGTCATATATAAAAGATAGTTCCATTTATATAAAATTCTGTGGGACTTCCCTGGTGACACAGTGGTTAAGAATTCGCCTGCCAATGCAGGGGACGTGGGTTCAATCCCTGGTCTGGGAAGATCCCACATGCCGCGGAGCAACTAAGCCCGTGCGCCACAACTACTGAGCCTGCGCTCGAGAGCCCGGGAGCCACAACTACTGAGCTCACATGCCACAACTACTGAAGCTCACGAGCCTAGAGCCCGTGCTCCACAACAAGAGAAGCCACCGCGGTGAGAAGCCCGTGCACCGCAATGAAGAGTAGCCCCTGCTCTCCGCAACTAGAGAAAGCCCACGCGGCAACAAAGAGCCAACACAGTCAAAAATAAATAAATAATAAAATTCTTGTAAACTAATTTATACTGACAGAAAACAGATTAGTGATTGCCTTGGGGACCAGGGGTGGAGGGATGGACTGAACTGCAAAGGGAAATGAGGAAACTTTTTCCATGATGGAAATACAATGTATCTTGGTTGTGGTGTTGGTTTCACGATGTACACATTTTTTCCAAACTCATTGAGCTGCAAAATTTTTAATAACTGCAGATTATACATAAGTATGCCTTAATAAAATTGATAAAAAATTGAATTAACAACTCCAACTCCTAGATGCCAGCAAATCTCATGGAGCATTTCTCGAGTAATTAAAACCACTCACCAACTCAAATGCATGTCCTTTGAGTTGCTCTTTTAGGGAGAATGATGAAACAGTACTGATCCCTCAACACTATTCTCTCCCTTGGGCCTCTGAATAGGGCTTTTAAGAGGCAGTCAGAAGTATACTGCAAAGCTAAAGTGTCATGCGGAGGCTGGGGTAATGACCTCAGCCTCATGATAACCATACCCTAATCCATCTTAACACCTGATAGACCAAGTTCATGTGGTCTGACTTATCCAAAGGGTATATCCAGATTCTACACTCTGTGGCTTAGGTAAAACAGACTGTGTGTTATGCACAATTCCCTGCAAGCAAGCTATAATTCCTCTCTTTACTGTAGATCACTGGTCAGCCATTGAAAACTCTATGCTAACCAACTAAACTAACAAGCTTTTTAGAAAGAACACAATGATACATCTAAGCTTCCAGAGAAATAATGTTTCAAATTTATTTTACAATATGCCTCAGTACACATTTGTATAGAAGCCAAGATGATCTGTGTTCTGTGTTCTAAAATCCAATTATACACTAATTTCTAGTTTTTATTTCCATCTTTAGTGCCTTAGTTTTTAAATTAACAAACGTTTTTAAAAGGTCTGTGAAATGTAAGCAAATACTTTGCATGACCACAGTTCTTTATAACCTCATGGTAACATAAGATCTTTAAGACTTATTGTGAATCAGTGATTTGCAAAAACACTCAACCAAATTAAGCACTTTAGAACAGACTGTTCACTTGCTTTCTAACCAACAGGCATGAATATTCTGTGTATCATCTTCAGTACCTTCTATCTATTGTAAATATTTTATGAAATCCATACTTTTTAGAAAATTAAGTTTATCATGACCTGCAAGATAAAGAGTAAGACCACAGAACATGTCCTAAGAGTAAAGAAGTATAGTCAAAAAGTTTGTGTTAGGGACTTCCCTGGTGGCACAGTGGTTAAGAATCTGCCTGCCAATGCAGGGGACATGGGTTCCAGCCCTGGTCTGGGAAGATGCCACATGCCACGGAGCAACTAAGCCCGTGCGCCACAACTACTGAGCCTGCACTCTAGAGCCCATGAGCCACAACTACTGAAGCCTGCACGCCTAGAGCCCGTGCCCTGCAACAAGAGAAGTCACCGCAATGAGAAGCCCGTGCACCGCATCGAAGAGTAGCCCCTGCTCACTGCAACTAGAGAAAGCCCACGTGCAGCAATGACCCAGTGCAGCCAAAAATAAATATGTTAAAAACAAAAATTCTTAAAAAAAAAAAGTTTGTGTTAAATTTTTAAAAAATGAGTTTGCCTTGGAAATTCTACATTTTTCCTACACTTGTGCAAAAACATTGTGGACTCAGTTTTGCTGCATTTGGACCAAGCTGCAAAAGAAGTATGATATGTTTAAGTTGTTGTGAGTAGAATGTTTTTAAAAAATAATTATTTGTTCCAGATAATAACTTTCTAGAGAAGCCAAACCCTTGAAACCCTTGAAACAAACAGAACTGAAACACTTGATCAATTTTTATTTCAAAATGTCTACAAAGTTATAATTCTCCATTTTACAAATAATTTTTCAAAATTCAGACATTATTCAAATGTAAGCCAAAGTCCTTATACAAACAGAATACACACAAAGATCAAAAATATACATATTCTCTCAGCAAACTTTGTTACATAAATAAGTATATACAAAAGCTGGTATTTTCAATCTAAAGAACAATTATTTTAACACTGTAACCATATACAGAAGGTACTAAAATAAAAATAAACACCACAGCAAAAGTTAAAGGAACAACAAACTCATTTTATGACATCTACAACTGTAAACATACATAAAGCCAATCTTGGGGGGAATGTATACTTCACACTTATATCTTAATTTTTACTTCACTTTATTCATTTTTAAGAATATTCTCTGGATAGGTGAAATTCACAATTCTACCAGCTACCCCTGACACCTAATACAAGTTAGAACATGTGAAGAACTATATACTCTATGTCTTTGTACTTTGGGACAGATGCAAAACGAATTCTTCAAAAGTTAAATTTTTATGAACCTATGTTAAAAATTTTCCAAGTAAATTGAATTGGCTATTGAAAAATCAAACAATTCTTTTTAGGTAGGAAATGTTAGAAAAAAATCCAAACACTTGTAGTCTTAACATAGTAAAGCAATAAAGAAGATTATGCCAGTGGTTCCCCTAGATAAAAACAATTTAACTAGGTGTATGTCTAATTATGTTTTGCCCCAGAAATTCTCCTTCCTTCTCTGAGCTCGTGACAGAGTTTGAAAAGCCCGGAGACTAGAAGCTGCAGAGCGAGCAGAAATCTCCGACAATCTGTCCTCATCTGCAACGAAAGAATTATATTCAGTGCAAAAAATATGTCTTATAAAAATACTATGTTTCAAAACATTAACAGCAAATTAAAAGCATCAAGCTTTGTAATGTCAATATTGACTCTGTCAGAAACCAGTAATCTATTAAAATACAAGATATCAACATTTTTAGGATAGTTCATAGTAATTTTCCAAGTTTATCATATTTAGAAATCAAACATTTTAATGTGAAATGAGCATTGTTTCCTTCCTGAAATCCCACTATGTCATTACCTAAACACCTGGCCTGTGATTTCAGTATTACTCGGAAACAGTTCATCATCATATTGTCTCGTCCTACTTTAAAAAGCACAGCTGTTTGAGCAGAACTTTAATGTTTTAAAAATGAAATGCCATACCTTAACATGGTACTCACATCACATTTCTAAAATAATTTCACTTAATATAGAAATAATGTCTGACTTTAATATGCTACCCTTCATTATTAGTGAAATTCCACAATCGGAGCAAGTAAATCTCTTATCAAGTTATTTGTAAACACTGTTCTTCCATTAAAAAGAAAACAGAACTGGATTCAAAGTGTCCAGATATTGGCATTTCAAAACATAGCAACTTGATTTCCAGCTCACTGAATTCTGAAAAAAGTCTCAAACTTGCTAAGAGAAAACCTTTAATGTGTGTGAAGCTATAATACATAAAGTATTAATTCAAATTTAATTTCAAATTCAAAATTTATAAATTTAGTAATTTCATACTTCTTAGGGTGCATTTAAAATAGTAATTTCAATTGTTCAACACTGAGAATTCAAAATTCCTCCTGCCACTATTAGAAGCAAATGAATTTGTCAAACCGAAAGAAAAAAAATTCATTTTCCCTAATTATATATATTTTAAGAATATACAGACATATGAAAAAAATGATGGATATAATGCTAGGCTGAATTCCTGAGCCACCAGCTACCCAGGCTGTAAAACAGAGTACTGACCTTAGGTGTGATGCTAGGCACAATCTCTTGCCAACTGTTTGTTTTAAAAAAGATTCTTCAAGGCTTATTTTCCAGTTTACTCATTTATAAAATGGGGATAATTTCACCCTCTTCACAGGGTTTCAAGGTTCTAATGAAATGACATCTGTAGAAGTACTTTGTAAACTATAAAGTGCTAACCAAATGTAAGATCATACTATTATGAACTACTATATAATAAAACATTATACTTTTATCTTGTGTTCTTTGACTATTAAAATACCTTCATCATTAAAGGCTTCTTGCTGGGGTAACTGGAAATTGTTCATCCTTGATTTTCCCACTTAAAAAAAAAAAAAAAGCCAGAAGAAATTATCCTTCAAAGCCACTCAACAGTGTATCTTATTTCTAGTCAACTCTAAGTGAAGGTAGGCTGTCAGAAAATTTATTAATTTTATAACTTTAATAGAAATTACTGCCAAAGGGCCATTCATTAATTCATAATGTACTTAGCAAATATGTAAACAAACAATGGATAATCTCCTGGGATTCTTTTCAGTGAAAATACTGATCTATTCTAACTTTAAAGAAATACAGTAAGCTTCTCTTTAAAGATGGCAGCTGGACTACACACATCTACAAAAGTGATATAAACCCACAGGACAGCGAAAATGGGAAGCAAGAAAACAGCACCAAAATTTTGGAAAGTGGGAAGCAAATGGAAGGGCAGTGAGTATGTGGTCATCATAGCCAAGTGAGCTGAATCCTTAGCAGCAGAGGAGGGATACCAAGAAGCAACCAATTTACTCCCCTGATGGCTGGGGTTTTGGGAGTTCTGAGTACCACTGAGAGTTGGAGCGAAGGTAAAACTGAGTCAGGAATCTAGTTGAAAGTCTTTCTACAAAAGTCTGCCAGATCCTTCTTCAAATTTGTACAGCAGGGTAACTCTCCCAAAAGAGGAATGGAGGTCTCATTGCTGGAGAAGGTTTATCAGAGCTACTTTGACTGAAGGACACCGGATTCAACTGGGGGCACATATTCAAAATAGGGGTATTATATATATCATTTATCTCCTCAAACAGATAAAACATGCCATCCATGAAATAAGAACTGGATGCTGTATAAAAGGAGTATGTAGTATTTTAAAAATCTTAGAAATTAAAAATATAGCAAAATATCATTTAAAAACTCAAGTAGAAGATAAAAATTAGTGACCCTTTCAAATTAAAACAAAAAGACAGACATGGAAAATAGGAGCGGTAAGATAAGAAAATATCATGTTCAACACGTCCAACATCTGAAAAATAGTAGTGCTGGAAGGAAGAAATAGAAAGTGGAGGGGAAGAAATCACTGACTAAATAACTTGAGAAAATTTCCCAGAACTGAGGAACATGACTTTTCAGATTGAAAAGGTCTAGTGAGTACTAGCAAAATGAATGAAAAGGGACCCACTATAAAACTTCAGAGCACTGGGTATAAAGAGAAGATGCCAAGAGCTGCCAGGAAAAAAAAGAAAGCCACATACAAAAGATCAAAAATAAAAAGAGCTTCAGACTTCTCAGTCATAATAGTGGACGTTAGAAAACAGCAGAGCAACACCTAATAAAACCAAAGGAAAATATTTTATGACCTTGAATTCTACAACCAGGCAACATTTGGTAATGTCTGAAGACATCTTTGGTTGTCACGCCTGGGGAAGAGGTGCTATGGCACTTAGTGAGTTGCCTGGATGTTTATGGGAAAGAACATGAGAGACACCTCACACTTAGACCAAAGTGAACTTGGGTACAGCACAACTGAGTGTTCCAGAGATGAGATTTTTTTCTATTTAAAGAAATCTATTACATTAACTAAAAAACTAAATAACACAACTTATTAATACATAGTATATACTCAGAGCCTTTGTATCTATCAGTATAACACTTTCATTTTAATAGACAAAAAACTAAAATCCAAGTAATTACCATTATGCTGAAATTCTGGATCTCTCAGGGAGCCCTGAATTCGACGAGAAGGATGCCAGTAGGATGGGGCACAGGGTGGAGATGGAGACTGCCCAGGTGTGTTAGTTGGATTTTCTGGAATTTTTGAAACTGGAAGAGTTGTCTCAGCAAATTTGGGGATATTGGGTTCAGAATCTTCCCTCAAAGGCAAGGGATCAATTGTTTTTAGACCAGCAGCTGGAGAAGTCAGGAGGGGTATAGCACGACTTTCTTTCTAAATGACAAAAACAAAACAAAATACGTATATGCGTGTGTACATATATAAACAAAACAAACATTTAAACACACAAAAGTATATAACCATAAAAGCAGTAGGAAAAAATATGGGGAAAATTTATGTAACCTCCATGTGGGGAAGGTTTTATAAGCCTAACAACCGATATAGATAAAGATATTTAGCTAAGTAAAAACAAAAGATATGTAAATATTTAAAAAATGAAAGAAAAATGACAAACTTGGGGAAAATATACAACTTACTGGATGGACAATGAATTATTATCACTGTTACATAAATATTTCTTTAAAAGTAGTAAGATAAACCTAATTTAAAGGTAGAAAAAGGATACATGTCAGCAATTCATATACATACAAATTACAAATAGCAAACATATTCCACACCTCACTGATAATCAAATAATTACAAAATAAAAGCAATGACATAGTAATTTTTCACTTACCAAATTACAAAGATAAATTAAAACAAACAAACAAACTATAATACCCTGAGCTGACAAGGATGCAGAAAACTGGCACTCTTATCCAGTGTTACTGGTAGGACAACCTTCCAGGGGAGCTGGCAAGATAGCAAAAACCTTAATACTGTGGCTCTTTGACCACACAATTAATACTTAGGGAGTATTTACATAAAAATAGGTAACAACAATATGAACAAAAATGCAGGTAAAGAATGGATTTCTTTAAAGCATTTTTTCAAAATAAAGTAAAACTAAGAAATAACAATAGGCATCTAGTTTTAAAAAATACATTTCAACAATGAGCATCTAGTTAAAAAAAAAACTATAGTATAACTACAGATCGTACATCATATCACAATTAAAAGTCAGATTATAAATTAATGGTATGGATGTATGTTCACAATACATTGCTAGGCAAGAAAAATGTATTATGAAAACTTATCTACAGTATAATAAACAAATACACTATATATCTAAACTCAAATTCAACAACGGATGTTTCTGAACAGTAGGTATGAATTACCTTCTTTTTTGGTTTGCTCAGTATTTTCTGTTTTTCCACAATGATAATATATCATGAATAGAAAAGTCCCTGTATAATTTTACTTTTGAGGAGAATGTAAACAAGTAGTATCAAATATAGCCCCAAACTTTCCTGATCATTCCTTGTAATTGTTGCCTTTAGTTATTAACTTTGAGTTTATCAATGTAATGTTCAAAACATTGCTTTCTGACCTTAGGCATCATTTTCTGCAATTAGAGGGCTTATTGCTTCAAAGGGGAGATAGCCTGGGGTCTCATCCAAAAAACAAATATTTTTAAATCAAGATCTAAGATAAAACCACAAATTTTCCACTTGCTTCCCTTTTTTTTTGCGGTACGCAGGCCTCTCACTGTTGTGGCCTCTCCCTGTTGTGGCCTCTCCTGTTGCGGAGCACAGGTTCCAGACATGCAGGCTCAGCAGCCATGGCTCACGGGCCCAGCCGCTCCGTGGCATGTGGGATCTTCCCAGACTGGGGCATGAACCCGTGTCCCCTGCACTGGCAGGCGGACTCTCAACCACTGCATCACCAGGGAAGCCCCTGCTTCCCTTTTTAATTACAAAGATCTCTTATGAAAATCGTTCTTTTGGTTTTTTCTTTTTGTATACATATATGTAGAATTTGGAACTTCTGTCAAATTGGTTTCATTACTGTTAAAACCTGAATTAAATCTATAGAATATTTGTAATACATGGGGTTCCCAGGTTTAATTTGACTTTATGATCTGTTCTTGAACCTAAAAGCCTCCTTATTGGCCTCACTGCTTCTACTCTCCCCCAGTATAGCCCATTCTCCACTGAGTAGCCAGAGTGATTTTAGTTACCAAGTGTATCAGAGATCTATATCTGCTTTACTGCTTAAAATCCTCCAAGAGCTTCCCAGTGCCATTAGAAGAACATCCCACTCCTTACCCAGCTCCCTTGCCCACTCCCTTTCCACCCTCATTCCCCACCCTCTCCCCTGCTTTCTCCAGGCTCCAGTCACACAGACCTTTTCACTCTCGATGAAACGCTCACTGTTGTTCACCTGCACTTGCTGTTCATTCTACCTGGAAAACAATCTCCAGCCCAGATCTCTGCATGGGCACCTCCCTCATCAGCCAGGTCTTGCTAAAATGTCACCTCCTCAGAGGTGCCTGTCCTGATGACCCAAACTAAAGCAGTCTCACCCACCCCTTGGAGGTCGTTTTCAGTTTTATTTAATTGATAGCACTTACTACTATCTGAAATTCTTTTTTAAAAAATCATTTGTCTACTTCTCCCAATGAAAATGTAAGTTCCACGATCGCAGGAATTTTATCTTGATTACCAATGAATCCCCAGATCCCAGAACAGTGTTTGATACATAGTAAGAGCACAGTAAATTCTGAACTGAGTGAATGAAAACGAAACTCCTGATACTCCCCTCCAAAGATGGCTTTCGTGCAGAGTTCTCTTACTCAGTGCGTGGCACTCTCCATCAATCCTGCTGGGCAAGCCAGAAACCTAGAAGTCATTATCCAACCCAGCTCCAGGCCTTGACATTGTTCCCCTTACACAATTCTTCAGTTTCGCTCACGTCTATGCCCACCCTCTTTAGTCCAAGCTATCACAGCTCCTATCTGGACTACTGCAATGGGCTCTCAAAGGTATCCACAGTCCACTCTTGCCTTCCACGGCAGCCAGAGAGATCTTGCAAAACATAAATCAATCACAACACTCTCATATTTAAAATATTTCAGTCGTTTTCCCTTTTACTTGAGATGAAAGAAATTCTCAATATTGCTGTCTCTTCCAGCCTCATCTTGCTCCTGCTCCCTGCCACACACTGCACTGGTCTTTGTTTCCTAAAACTCTATGTCCATGGGACTTCCCTGGCGGTCCAGTGGTTAAGACTTCACCTTCCAATGCAGGGGGTGTGGGTTCAATCCCTGGTCAGGGAGCTAAGATCCCACATGCCTCGTGGCCAAAAAACCAAAATATAAAACAGAAGCAATATTGTAACAAATTCAATAAAGACTTAAAAAAAATGGTCCACATCAAAAATAAAATTAAAAACAAAAAAATATGCCCTTTCTCTCCACGGAACTGTGGCATATGCTATGCTTCTCCTCCCCTCCCTTTTTACCTGGTTAACTCTTCTTCCTCTATATCTCAACTCAATTATGACTTCTTCAAAGAAGCATCCTTGACTTTCAAGAAGCTTCCTGATCTCCATGACTAGGTCAATTCCTTCCAGGACAGCACTATATACTTCTTTGAAACTATTATTAGTTTTAATTTTACTTTTTTGGGGGTATGATTCTCACAAGACTGTAGGTTCAACAAAATCATGTACCATGTCTATTTTTGCTCATTATCACAACCACAGCATCTAGCATGTAAGTAAATGGATAAGAAACATCTGCTGAATGAAGTGAGCTAACATACACTTGGGTTTTTAATATCATTTTTAAAATGTACAGATGGTACTTGACTATCAAACCAATATCATGAGAATTCTACTCTCAAGTCTTGTGAGACAGTGTTGTTTAGGGGTTAAAAATGTGGGCTCTGAGAACAGACTGCCTGGGGACAAATCCTACTCCACCATTATGAAGACTGAACAAATTAACACATGTAAAGTACTTAGCACAGAGCCTAGAACATAGTAAGTGCTCAGTAAATGCTAGCTATTATGATCATCCCCACAGAAGTTCCCCAAATTGCTGCTGCCCCACAACACTCCCACAATTCAAGGTGAAAATATTTCTGGATAATATAATATAGTCTTCCTAATTCCTATGGTAAAAAAAAAAGAGATACAGAATGATATTAACCAAGGGCAACTGAATGACAGGGATAATTCACTGCAAACTGAATGACTTACAGATTTAATGTTATTACAATAGTAGCTTCTGTAAGAAAACAAAGGAAAAAAATGACTGTGTTAAGTGAGTTTAATGACTCCTCTGCCTACCAGCCACCAAGGGGTAGACAATGGAAAATAACCAAATCTAGCTCCTGGTACAGCTACTGCTATGATCCAAATGACCATCAACTCTTGCCTGGATATTGTAACTGACTAACCAGTTTCAAGCCCTTGCTCTTGCACCCCTACTGTCTATTCCCAATACAGTTGCCAGAGTGACCTTGGAAAAACCCAAGTCAAATCATCACTCCTCTGCCCCTCTAAAGGCTTTCCATTTCATTCAGAATAAAATTCAAAGTCTTTGCTATGACCTATAAGGCCCTACACAATTTAGTTCCTCATTATGCCTCTGACCTCATTGCCCATCCTGTTCTCCCTTTCTTGCTCTCAGCTCCACTCCTGCCTGTTCCTCAAAGAATCAGGTACCTTCTCACCTTCTCACTTGCTATTCTTTTTGCCTGGAATGTCTTCCTAGATATGCATATGGGTCAGTCCTTCACCTGCTTCAGATTCTGCTCAAATGTTACCCTCTCAGTGAGAACTTCCCTCGCCACTTCCTACTCACTTCCCCTGCTTTATTTTTCTCCTTAGTTCTTATCACTATCTAAAATACTATGCATTTTACCTAGTTATCCTGTTTATTGTCTCTCTCCTCCACTAGAATGTAAGTTCAGTGAGGGCCAGGATTTTTACCTGCTCCTTTCACTGCTACATCTCTAGTGTTAAATCAGCATCTGGAACATAGCTGGAACAAAACTGCCACAGAAGATGCTCCAATAGTATTGTTTTTCTTCTCTCTCTTCCTGTTGTCACTACTGACAAAAATTGAAAGTATAGCAGAAATACAGTGCCACTACCCAAAAAAACAATTCAATGCCTTTGCCTTCTGAAAGTAAGTTAAGAGCATCATCTCCATATATGATAGGCAGAATTTTCTAAAATCGGAACCTCTCATTCACTTATTGCATGTGACTAAAATAATCACTCCTGAAGAGATGTTTTTTTCTCCAAAATATAAATATTTACCTTCCTAAAAGTTTCTAAGCCATCCTGAGAGGACATTCTTTTTCTCTGTTCTGCAACTGAAGGCTTCATTTTAGATGGAGACACTAAAACAGCACCACCTGGAAAAATGCAAAAGATGTTATATTTTGATTAAACTAAATTATCATGTAGAGAAAGCAGGTGAAATAAGAACTGCACAATGTTTGCCTGTTACCAACAGCTGGAGTGGTAAGATCGTGATGAGTCCTCTGGATTCCACCAAGTTCTCTTAGCTTCGGAGTAGGAAGCCTGCCTCCTTTTCCTGAGGACACAGAAGACGACTCCGACCTACAAATTAAAACAATTATGAAGCACGTCCTCCAGAAAATATAATAAAAAAAATACTTTGCCATCATTATGCAATTAAACTATAGACCTATAAGAGAAGGCCATTTTGTTTCTGAAAAAAATAAACAAATCTACGCACAGTTAAGAGTAACTGAATATTGGAAAAGAGTTAAGATCACTGCAAGTCAGCAACACACCAGAGAATTCTTCCATTATATCAGAACCTAACTTCCATATTAGCTGCAAAACTCACGAATGAATGCTAAGGGCGTTGGACTATGGACAAAAAAATACCATAACCAATGGCAGAGAACCACTCCCCAAAGCATTCTGCATATAAATCAATGGAAATTAGCTATTTGCAGAAATCACTTATTTTATTAAAAAAATTTTTTAACATCTTTATTGGAGTATAATTGCTTTACAATGGTGTGTTAGTCTCTGCTTTATAACAAAGTGGATCAGCTATACATATACATATGTTCCCATATCTCTTCCCTCCTGCATCTCCCTCCCACCCTCCCTATCCCACCCCTCTAGGTGGAAACAAAGCACCAAGCTGATCTCCCTGTGCTACGCAGCTGCTTCCCACTAGCTATCGATTTTACGTTTGGTAGGAAATCACTTATTTTAATATTACAAAACATCTTTTCTTTCTTTTTGGTAGTATAACCATCTGATAGTAAAGAATATCAGTTATTTTCTTCAAGTCATAAAGTCATACTTCCAGAGATATCTAGCAAATCATAATTAGGAGGATATAAATGAAAATAACCCTGACTACTCCCTCCCCAAGTAGCTCAATGTTCAAGTGTTCAACTACCAAGCAGTGGTGACTCAAATACCTGAGTGAATCAAATTATATAAACCATAAAGAAATGCCTATTTCGTGACATTAAAGTAAAATCTGCTCTTTATTAGTCATAAAACCAAAGTGTAAACCACTATAATTAATTAGTGACAAAACGAAATACATATTAACTGTGAACAATAATGCGCCTATATACTGATTAATTTAAAATGCTCACCCTTCTTTTATTTTGTCTGCTTTAGATTTTTCCTGTACTTCCAACTTCTCTAGCTCTCCCACATTAACCTGCTTGTCCCTTTCCTCCTCTTCCTCCTCTTCTCTTGGCTGTTTCTGTGTGTCTTCAGTGGTGTTCTCTGCATCCCAAGCCAGACGCCTTCTAACAGGTATGGGAGCATCTGACACACCCAATTTCTCTGTGGTAGTTTTCTGGGGCTGTTCTTCCAAGATAGGTCTTTTTTCTTCTAGTTTTGTAGAAGGATATTTCTGCAAAGTCTTATGGCTTGTAGGATCTCTGCATAACAAAAATAAGTTTTATTTTAAATTGAGTAGTTTGAGGTTTCTAATTGATACTTATTTTAATAAGTCCGTCATTGCCTTCCATCGTTCACAACTCTGTTTCCCACTGATATTGCCTTGCCCAGATACTGAAGAAAAAAATCGAATTAAGAGTTCATTTTACAATAGAAGTTAAAGTTACAATCTATTAAAATATTCCAAAATAAATTATATTTATCTCCTTCTACTCCTCCCATCACACATATATGCCTGCACCACTGCTGATAAAACTCACATGTATCTCTCGAGTGGCCTCTGCATACATAAACTAGAACCCCCTCACATGGTCTAACTTGTTCAGTTACTCAATTAGGGTTTGTGCACAAACTCATGTGTACTTATGGATCAAATAAGCTGATTCCAATTTTATATTTTAGATATATTAATCTTTTCAAGTCACTGTTAACAGATTTTGTGATGAACTTTTAAAATCAGATGTCACATAATTAGAATTTATAGTTAATTTGGTATGTATGGCTACACTAATACACTATAAAAACCAAAAACTATTTTATTTGCTACAAATCGATGTGCTATTCCTCTTAGAAACAGTTTAATTGTGTTCACTTTAAAACCCAAAATAGCAGAGAATTCTTCCATAGAATCAGGGTGGAAGTTCCATATTAACCACAAAAATCCATTAATGAATGATAATGGAAATGTACTAATAGATAATATTCTCTAAGTTTTTATTATTGTTACCTTTTTCTTTTTGTTTTACTTTTTAAAGTTTTTTACGTCTACTGTATAGTCATCCCTAGTCTACTCTTAATTGCTAAGAAGGAATTTTATAAAATCCAATCTTCCAGATTTAAATTATGTATTATTTCTACCCAAGCGTGTAAAGCAAGTATGTATAGCTTTACTTTTCACAGAGAATAAACTAAAAATAATGAAATGTAATAAGTGGCTGGTATATTTCCATTAGACTAGACGACTTTTGAGTCTTCATATCATTTTCCTATGTAATTCCATGATCTACATAAGCTATAACATACTTTTCCACCATCCACAAATAACATCTCACCCAGCAAGATCTAGTGCTCTAATGTTGCTACTAATGGTTCCTTCTGAGCTCGTGGTCGAGGAGACATCCCAACAGCGGTTGTTTTCAGACAGAATCTGATTCAGATGGTCCCGAGAAAAATGAGTTCCCTGAACTCGTTTCCTATAAAACTCAGCCTTCTCTCGGAGTTCTTTAACCTATGCAGGAGAGTTGAGATATCATGTATCATTGTAAATGCTCCTTTGCAAATATCACCAAGTAGCATATCCAAGACATTGTACAAATACAGCCAGAGACCAAGGAGAAAGAAAGGCAAAAGTAGCCACATATACTATGTGCATTTTTAAGCAGAAATTAAAACAGTCAAGCTGATGCACAGTGCAGTTATTTTACTTCAGGCCAGCAGGCAGGGAGAAATTTGCAGCAGCTAAGAAAAATATCGACACCTACTTCTTACTTCAACTGAAATTACACAAGTACTCTATGCATTATTACAGATTTAAAAACTCAAAAGCAACCAACCTCCGCATACCACATGGCATTTAGAGAACCCTAGGGGAGGAATACAGAAACATACTTAATGACAGGTTAATGCCATAATCGAATATTAATGGGAATCACTGAAATACCTTATTATTTTTCCTTCTAAATATATACCAAACTTGTCAATTTTTTTTTAGTATTTTTAGTAGCATTTAATTCAGTAACCAAGATACTTTAACATTGCCTTGAAAATCAACCACGTTCTTGCATGGGTGGAATGCTGTCCGCAACAAGGTAACCTAATTACTATTTCCCCACCTCTGGAAGAGTACTGACATGCCAGAAACCCCTAGCCCCAGTCTTTACTTCTGGGCTTATATACACCTGCTGCTACTACTACAGAAGCTCCACTGAGAGAGTCATGAGGCTTTCCTCTCCACATTCCTCAACATTCCCTTGTAATCAGCAAAACCAGTATTAAATACATAATTTAAAAGAATATCCCACAAAATAATAACTGTAATATATTTGACAAAGCAACAGGATACCAAAAAAAAGTTCTGATGAACTACTGATATAAGGTGACTTGAATTCCCTAATATGCAAATAACATATTTTCACGTGAAAAGGCGTCTTTTATACTCATTGAAACCCTTTCATTTTATACATCATACTGCCACCTTCTGGCTTCCCTGAATACAATTCCACAATGTAAAAAAATTAAGTTGCAGCTTAAAAGTTTTGAATAATCTGCTTAAAATAATTTATTCTCAAAAAATTGTATCATTTTTTCCTATCATAAATACAAATATTAGCCTTAAAAGGATACCTGGATACTGTCTGCTAAAATCGCTTTTCTCATATTATGTAACAACCTAAATGGGAAAAGAATAGATACATGTGTATGTATAACTGAATCACTTTGCTGTACAACTGAAATTATCACAAAATTGTTAATCAACTATACTCTAATATAAAATAAAAAGTTAAAAAAATAAAAGCAAAGAAAAAAACTGCTTTTCTCTCACTTAAAGGCAAAAAAGCAAATAATGAAAATTGGCATTGCAAAAGCAACTGGAGAAACATATCCTCAGCTCCTTAAGGAAATACTACTGATGCAGAGAGATGCAAGTTCTACATCTCTAGGGAATCAGACAAAGCAAAGGACAGCGCCTGCCAGGGCAAAAGAAAACACATAATCCCAAAAGAGTCCTACTGCTCTAATGAACCAAACCTGAAACATTCCTAAAAGATAATTCAAAATATTGTTTTCTTCACTGTTAAAAAAATTAAGCCATGTTCATTTATCATTTTTTCAACTCTTATGCTTTAAAGAAAATTACTAATAATGGTTTTTGCATTTAATAGGTATTGAGTCTGTTGAACTCTTAACCAGTGTATTCTGAATGCATGGGAAGCTTGTAATAAAGTGCCTTGATATAATCTTAACCAGTGTATTCTGAATGCATGGGAAGCTTGTAATAAAGTGCCTTGATATAATCCGGATTTTATGAAGCATAAGTACCCCCATGCTTCAAATGTGTCATGGTCACTCCATCACCTAAAGGATAAAATCTTCATGCCTTAGGATCACTTCCTCCCCCCTGGGTTCTCAAAGCCCTTGGTGCATATCCCCACTAGTACTTATTTCATTCTTCTGGAATTATTGCTTGTGTCATTCTTCCCCATTAACCTATGAACTCCTTGAGGTGAGGGAGAATGTAGCCTTTCAACATTGATTCCACAACCTGTCCTGAGTATGGACTAAGCACTAGGCCTGAGCTAGACGGCTGGTAGCAAAGATAAGCAAGAAAGTTCCTGCACTCAACGTGCTCACAATCTGGTAGAGCAGGCCGATCTCCTCGTATATGATAAATCATTATCATAATATTGGTACGATCTATGCCATAATAAACAAATGAGATATAAACTGAAGGAGTGGTTTCAAAAGGGGGTCCTACCAGTCCTGCACTGTGTGTAAGGTGGAGCAGGAAGGAGCCGCAGAGAAGGCTGCATTCTATCCATACGGGAGGACCTCACTGATTGATGAATGAGAGGATTGATGAACATCCCCTCCATGTACACAGTGACCTAGTTTTATCTGACATCAACATTTTTTAAAGAAGGGAGGGGAGATACAGAAATTCTGTAAAACTTTATTCAGTTCTATTTGTTACTGACATTCAAAACTCAATGTTTTAAATTGACTTTATCAGCAATCTTTGTTAATAATCTTAGTACTGTTATATTTTACAAATACATGATTTTAAACTTCTGTAGTCCTAAACTCAGATGAAAAAATAGGACGCTGATATTTCCAAAGTAAGGTGTTCTACTAGAAAGAGAAAAAAAAATCAATGGTGTGAACTCAGTATTAAAAACAATCCCTACAGCCAAAAAAAGGAGCCACTAAAAATGATATGAATAAACAATGCCTAACTCAGTTAAAGCCACACACACACCCCTTTTCAGGTCAAGTAACACCATCAGGTTACATAATATTAAATGCTATAAGTAGAACGTTTTCCTTTCTGGATTTCTTTTCCCAAATTAAGAATTCAACTAAGTTGTTTAAAATTTATATGTGAAAAATTCAAACTCAGAAAACTGGGGAATAAAATACTCCTTTTCCCAAAATCATCCCCTGAAAATGAAGAGTCATCTTATACCTAAAAGTCCTTACAGTGTCTCTCAAATTACAGAATGTCTCAATGTGGCACTTCATCTTGAAACAAAGTCCTATTTCTGGAAGACACATTAGAAAAAAATTATCTCAACCAATGCAGTTGGGAGGATTAGAAGACTACCTAACAATCAGGAAAAAAAGACATTTAATACAGATCCAGTAGTTATTCTGAGGATTGGACTTAACAGTTGCAGTTGCTGATTATTATTAAAAAACAGCCTTCAAGCGAGCATTAGGAATAGAGCCACTGGTTATAGTATAGAGATAACAAATATACAACCACTGGACAAATAAAATCAACTACCCTAATGTTATGTGAATAGGAACTTGGGACACAGGATAAAATATCTAGTGACTAGACTATAAATAGATTTAAAAAGTACAATATCTCAAAGAAGAAAGAGGGAAATGAAGATGATACATGGACTAGAAAACTGTAACATGATTCAAAGTGCGTTAATATTCTAATGATAAAAAAGTTGCTGATGTCCAAATGCATTTGACGAGTGTGAATAATATTCCATGAAATGTTAGGAGTAGGAAAATGAGGGAGTACCTTATACGTAGGTACCTCAAAATCAGCCACATACAGTAAGTATCTTCCAGGGAAAAAAATGTAAGATATAAGAAAATATGGCCCATATTAAATGTCTATGACCTGATCGACTAAAACTATTAGCACTATCAGTGATCGCTAACCTCATAACTAAAAATTCTTATTCTTTTCTAACTCCAATTTGTTTTTTTGAATGATTTTGACCATGAAGTTAAGGCAAACTATTCTACTAATTTAAACATTTTCAACCACCTATAGCAATTAATAAAACAAACCTTCAGAAAAGTCACATTACCAAGATATTATAATAGGAAATCTTAAAGACCGATCTTAAATTAACAACAAAAACAAAAATGTTCTCTTCCACAAGGGCAGGATAAGGACTGTCACATTATCACGACTCCAGACATAACAGTCCTCTGAGTCCATTAAATGTTTACATCTGAGGCCTAAATACCAACTCATCTTAGTTCAAAGAAGTCTCAGACTAAGTGATAATCTTTCCAAAACAAGGAGCTTCTCATGAACCCAACCTAGCAAAGTACCGGAACACGACAGGGCAGTGGCTGACACCTACCAACTGGCCACACACGCCCTCTATGGCCACACTCTGCTCCTGCCTTTGCCTGGGGTTTTCCCCCATTCCCCATCAGACTCCTCAGGCACAGAGATCCTCACGGAGGTCTGGCATGGTCAGAAACTGCTCAAGAATTCAAAACTGACTCAATTCCTTTCTTCTGTCATGGCTGCTTTCAATGTTCTCATTTTTAACTTGATTTCACCAAGGTGAGTATAGGAATTTTGCCCCCAGTAATATTCGGTTGGCCGAAAAGTTCGTTCGGGTTTTCTGTGACGTCGTATGGAAAAACCTGAACGAACTTTTTGGCCAACCCAATATCGTCACCAGGACATAGGTCTGGGAGCTGCCAGAGCCAAGAACCAGAAGCTCAAAGTGTCAGAGGCTGATTACACATAATTGTTAGCCATGGTTTAAAGTATGGAGCTAAATAAGATTCATTCCCCATCCAAATTATCCCTCTCTTTATAATGTCTAATCCAAAATGTTCTCATTTAGCTTATTCACACAGAAAGGGGAGCAAACCATCAAGATGTAGTTTAAAAGATGCTAACTACACAATAACCAAAAAAGCTCCACCGTTTATCCTTTGGCTATAAGAAGCTAGTACTAAACTAGCACTCACCAATTCTAGAATTACCCTTTTCTTCCAACCTTTCTTTAGGATCCTCAGAATTTCTCCCATATGTCAGGGTATCCCAACACTAGAACTCAAACCTCTATCAACACAGGCCACTCCTTCCTTGTGCTTGCAGACTGCACTATTAGTACATGCTAACAGGGCACGTCAGTCAGATAAACTAATCTTGAAAAATTAATCAATCTTGAATTGAGAGAGGTCTGAAGGTTATAAAATAATCAAATCTATAATGCTACAATTCTATAAACTGACTTCATTAACATATTTGATTTTAAAAACATTTTTAACTTTAAAGACCTTATAATAATACTAATCTCTAAGCTAGTATTTTTAAAAAAACTAAACACACTGATAAACTATATCCTCATGCATACAATTGAAGTTCCTGATACTTTTAGTGCTATTACCGCATCATACATTTTCATACTGTCATCTCTATTACTAGGTGAAACTATTGTGAAATCAAACTGATATAGTGCCAAAGAACATGTGGGCTTCCTGAGCTTATACACTCACCTGATTTGGTATGTTTTCCTTCACACGTGTCCAAGTCCCAGCTTTATAAAAATATTGGGCTGGGCTCAGAAATTTTGCTCTATATTCAGAATTCACCTTCCTAACAGAAATGAAATGAGAGTAAATATTTCACCATGTTGATCATCTAAATACCATGATATTTTTCTTACAAAATACATACCCAAGCCTTTGATGTCTCCAAGGAGTAAGTTTCTTTTTAGGCTGGTTTAAGTCTTTTGATTCCATCTCTGCTTCTAATTTTAAAGGATCATCTGTTTTATTATACTAAAATGAAAATAATTTTAACTTTTTATGCTCAATTTATGTTATACATTAAAGTGAAAACACAGATGTTGTAAAGTATAGCTGGATACTGAATTACAATTCTGTTTTTAAAAGTAAGCTTTAACTACTAAAGATAACATAGAAATCATAAAAAATCAACAAGCAAATTTTGAAACTAGTATATCTGGTTAGTTTCTTGAAGTATATAGCTCAGGATATGGTTTCATTTTCTAACAATAAAAATTTTAGATACTTGGCTAGGAAAAAGTTTTAATTAACAAACATCTAAATAAATAAACTTTATGTTAACGACCTATTGAACACTGGTCTTACATTTTCCCTTGATATTCTAAGTTTACATTTAATTGTTACTCATTGGGACCTTCCACTTAATTATTGTAAGTTAGCACACAGCTTTACTGAATAACTTAATTCTTTTTTTTTCAAGAACATCATAGGTCCAACAAGTATATATATTATTAAACATATACATCATATATAATATATATGTATGACTTATATATATGCATATATAATTTTTATATATGTATATTTATATATATATAAATTATTTTACTTTTAGTCATATAATTTTTATTCTTAGAACCCATAACATTTCAGGTATGACATTCCAGGAGATCAAAAAATAGGACTTACCCCTGATTTACCTATAATTTACAATAATTTTAACCTGATGCTGTAACTGAAACAGCTGTAATTTCACACAGAGAAGTACGTTTGTATATACCAAGGTAAATCGTGTGAATTATACTGGCTATAATTTGGCATATTAAAGCTATGGTTTAAAATACATGTGTGAATGTGTGTTTCTATCTGATTTCCACTATTTAATTTAAAGTATGTGTTTCCATCACCACTGTAACCCCTGGAGCTCACAATACTATAAGGACAATCATTTGATATTAGACATAGCAGACTTACCTGCTGTATTGCTAAGCATATGCTGCACTGTATTACACTTAATTATTTAGATCTGTCTCCCCACTGACCCAAGAACTGCTTAGGGCTTAGTGTAGTTATCATTGTATTCTCAGTACCTACCTGGTGCCTGGTTTCTACCAGGTGCTAGATGAACATTTGACATTTAGTGAATAAATAAACAAATTAGTGAACTAGCTAAAAACAAAATCTCAAATGGTGATAAGTAAAAGGAAATTTGTAAAGTTCCAAATGGTGGTAAGTAAAAGAAAACGTGGAGAGTTTCAAATCATGAGGATTTTATTTTGTTTAAAGAGCTGACAAATACCTTCTTTTCAGGAGATATTGTTTCAAAATTTCCGTTCTCCTTCAAATGATTTCTTTGTTTTGGTTCTTTCACTGGAGATAAACCCTTAAAATTTCTTTTGTATTCAGTTTCATGGATGAATGAGTTACCTTGGAATTGTGGAATGAATTTGCTTTTATTGTGGAAAACCTTAAAAAAAAATTACTTTAGTTTAGTTTTTTGTTAAATATACAGAACTTCTTCAATTGCTTAAAAAATTTCACATATGAAGTTGAATCATAGGATACAAAAAAGGGAAAATTATATACGACTGTAATTTCATTTCACATGTCTAATTAACATCCATTGCAACAAAAGCAAAAACAAATGGGATTGCATCAAACTAAAAAACTTCTGTACAGAAAACAATCAACAGAGTGAAGAGACAGCATATTGAGTGGGAGAAAATATCTGCATTCATCTCATAAGGGGTCAATATTTAAAATATTTAAGGAACTCAACTCAACAGCAAGAAAACAACCCAATTAAAAAATGGGCAAAGAGGCATAAAAACAGACATATAGATCAATGGAACAGAATAAGGAGTCCAGAAATAAGCTCACATGTATATGGTCAATTAACTTATGACAAAGGAGCCAAGAACATACAATGGCGAAAGGGTCTCTTCAATAAATGGTGTTGAGAAAATTGGACAGCTACACACAAAAGAATGAAAATGGACCACTGTCTTGTGCCATACATAAAAATTAACTCAAAATGGATTAAAGACTTGAATGTAAGCCCTGAAACAATAAAACTTCTGGAAGAAATCATAGGCTAAGATCCTTGACATGGGTCTTGATGATGGTTTTTTGGATTTGACACCAAAAACAAAGGCAACCAAAGCAAAAATAAACAAGTGGGACTACATCAAACCAAGACACAATATTTTCAAATCATATATCTGATAAAGAGTTAATATTCAAAATAATAAAGAACTCATAAAACTCAATTAAAAAAAAGCAATCTGATTAAAAATGGGCAAAGGAACTTTTTTCCAAAGAAGACATACAAATGGCCAACAGGTACACGAACAGGTGCTCCACATCACTAATCATCAAGGAATAAACCAACATCAGTGAGATTTCACCTCACATGTTAGAATGGCTATTATCAAAACTACAAATGGTAACAAGTGTTGGCAAGGATGCAGAGAAAAGGGAACCCCAGTCCACCGTTGGTGGGAATGTAAATTGATATGGCCGTTATGGAAAGCAGTATAGAGGGTCCTCAAAAAATTTAAAATAGATCCAGCAACCCCACTTCTAGGTATATATCCAAGGGAAATGAAATCAGTATCTCAAAAGATATCTACACTCCCATGTTCATTATAGCATTATTCACAGTAGCCAAGATATGGAATCAGTCTGTGTCCATGGACAGATGAATGGATAAAGAAAATGTATTATTATTCAGCCTTAAAAAAAAAAAATCCTCTCACTTGCAACAACATGGATGAACCTGGAGAACATATGCTAAGTGAAATGAGCCAGGCACAGAAAGACAAATACTGCATTATATGATCCCACTTATATGTGGAATCTAAAGGAACTCATAGAAGCAGCAAATAGAATGGTGGTTGCCAGGGACCAGGGGGTGGGAGAAATGGGGAGATGCTGGTCAAAGGGTACAAAGTTTCAATTATGCAGGATAAATAATTATGGAGATCGGAAGTACAGCATGTATGTAGTTAACAATACTGTATTATGTACTTAAAATTTGCTAAAAGGATAGATCTTAAGTATCCTCACCACACACACAAAAAATGGTAACTACATGAGGTGATAGATGTGTTAATTAGCTTGATTGTGGTAATCATTTCAGAATGAATACGTATGTCAAAACTTCACATCGTACATCATAAATATATAATTTTTGTCAATTAGAGCTCAGTAAAGCTGGAGAGAAAATCCAAAGGTCAACTTTCTCTACTCATTACTATGTTTTGAATAATAGTTATTGTAATCAAATAATGCTTAAGCCAAAAGAAATAATGAACCATATCTTTTCTCCCCCAAGTGTCCCACCCCCCTATTAGTTTGGTAGTGAGAATAGTAAAATAGGCAGATTTTAATAATAAGAAAATACACATTAGCTTTACAAAGCAACTCTGTTGTCAGCTCTGCAGGGTTTTTTTCCTCCTTGACATGAATTTTTTTTCCTCCTACAACAATAAAAAAGTCTTAACGTTTTGAATATCTGACATATGCATTTGCTCAGGTTTTTTCCTTTGCTTATTTTTAGCTTAAAGCAAGGAAAAAAACAGGTAATTATCATGTCTCTATTTTTAAATGTTTTCTTTTATCCTTAATATTTCATAATATGGTTTCCATTTCATGGTCTATTACCACTGATTACAGAGAAAGCAAATAGAAAAGATATGGAGTTCAAATAAGGTATATTATTGCTTCACAACGCTGAATAATACACCTTCATACAGATCACAACCAAACAGTATATCTTTTTAAGTACAGTATAACCTCAAGGACTCTTCTGCCAAAAATTGTTCTGACTCTTTTACATATTAATATAAGACATCCTTTCAGAAAACAGGTGTCTGATAAAACAGAACGGAACAGCTCCTTTAGAGGTTCCCTATCAACAAGCTTTGAAAGTTTCTGTCACAGAGCTCTTCAATCCACAGACCCGAAAACTGATATGCTTTCAACTAACAAAGAGCATTTGCTTCCAAAAAAAATTCTCTGAAACCCTCACTAATGAAAGTAATAAAGCTAGTAGTGAAGGTATTGCTAGTGATTTATTTTATGTTATACTTCTGATACTATCAAAAGAACGTTTCTACATAATGCTCTCACTGAAGTATGCAGAAGTTGTCAATAGGGCTTTGATTTGAATCACCTCTACCTTAAAGGTAAGATATTCTACAAAAACTGAACAGTCATGATTTTTAGGCTGTAAGTAATTTTGTAGGTACACTTTCTATCCAACAACACTTGTGAGCCAGCAAAAGAAGTACTGATTCTATTCACTAGGTTTATAAAGGGTATGTATTGATTTATGTTATTTTATGTGTCCCTAAAATGTTATATAAATTTCAGTTTTTTAAAAACTGAATAACAAGTAAGCAAGCCTAAAGCTGCTACAATTTGTAGGATAACACTGGTACTATCTTAGTGTAAGATGACATGTTATTGTCTTGCTGAATCTAATTATCCTCTTGGTCCTTATGGGTGTATAAAGTATATAGGTGAGTGAGAAAGAAAAGACTAAGCTGTCATGAGCCTTTGGGGATATTCTAAATGGAAGTATTTCCTACCTAAGCCTAGGAGTATGGTTAAGAACATAAATGAGCTAAGAACTGTCTGGAGAATTCTAGTAGTAAAACAACAGAGTATATATTAGTAATGGTAGTCTAATACTAAAATTGTGTGAGGATACAATGAAACCTAATATCACATTTAGTTACCATTATAGCTTTTGAATTTATAAATATAGTTAAACTGACAATTCCTATCACTGTTCATTTGATATAAGGACAAAATTATATATCTTGCATCACTTTCAACCTATTTTGTACTTATTAAAATAAATATCCAACGCAGTTACACCTTTCTTAGAAGACAGAAAACATGCAATATATTAGTCAACAAAATTCAACATTTCAGAATACAATCAATTTAACAATTTTTTAATAAATAAAAAAAATTCACAGCATGCAAAAACTTACCAGTCCTCAAGTTTTCATTACCCTGTCTCATATTTAGTATATGTGATGGATCTGGCAACAATGATCATCAGTAGCCTAGGACAGTATAATATTACTACTATAAATCAGAAGTAATAGGATGATTTTAGCAAAACTCTCATTTTCACGTTTCTAGAACCCACCTTCAGGCCTTCTTAAGTATCTAATTTCTTTCAGTTCTTAGTTCTATGTAAATCTGCAACACTAGATTAGATGATATTCCTCAAAAATGTATTGCATCCATTAAACTACCTGATTGGCTGCAAAAGCTGAAGTAGTTTCTTTAGGGGTCTTCCAAACAAACTGCCTTTGATATTCAGAATTTCTCAAGACATTATGTGAAGGAACAACGGTCAGTCCAGCTTTTTTCTGTAGAAGTCTATCCAACTGTTAGGGAAAAAAAAAAATCCCACTCAAAGTTATTAAAAATTTCTATTCAAACTTTTTCTTTTTTTTAACTATGGTAAAAAACGTAGAACATAAAACTCTACCCTCTTAACAAATTTTTAAGTGTACAGTAAGGTATCATTAACTATATGCACATCGTCATACAGAAACCTTTCTTTAATTGTTAATCTTCCTTTAAATTGTGAAACTCTTTAAAATTCCCTTAATACCGTCAAGGAATTATTGTGCATCCCAGCAAAAGATAACATTTCTCTCATTGCTTCTCGGCCTTTTGGCTAAGATCAAGTGTAGATAACATTTCTCAGTCCCTTCCTACCAATTATGCATAATTGAATATATTACTAAGAAACAACAGCACATTACCTCGTCCACAGCTTGCTTTGGGGACACCCCTTCCCCTGCCCACCAGACTTACATGTCACCTTCCTTGATTCCCATGCCCCCTGGTCTTCCAACACTTCTAAATGCCTCTCCGTGGTTCCAGTCAGCGGTGGACATGAGATGGGGAGGAAGCAGTAGAGTGGAGAAAAATGGGGAAGCAGTGAGGCGTCTGCACGGGTCCCTGCAGCCTCTGCTTATGTGCTCGCAGGGACCTGCTGCAGGCCAGCTGGGACATAAGAGAGCAGAACTGCAAGATCTTTTGAGATCTAGCCAGACCTCTCCTTTCTTTTGCATTTTGTCAATTGAGACTCTGTTTTTTCTGCTAGTACACAATAAGAAATTGAAAAGGGCCTAGGTATAAGTCAGCTCACCATCCCTGCCAGAGGTAATGGCCTACTCCCTTTCTCTGTCTCAACTTGATCTGTCCCTTAGGACTCAGGTGCTGATATATGATAAATAAAATCCAGAGGCAGGCTGTGTACCCAACGAAGGGATATCTTAGTAAAACCAGTACAAAATGGCAACTATTAAGAAGAGAACTAAGTCATAATAACTAAAGTCAACAGCCTCTTATCAACTCTTCTACAGACACTGGACAAGAAAACAAATAATGGAAAAATTTAAGCACAAAATGTAATATTACTGAAATGATGATGAAATTTACAAAGAATTCTATGCTTCTGAAAGGAAATACAGTGAATATACCTACCCCACCATCTATGTTTTCTGAAAGAAGCTTGGTAGAATGTTCCAGCTCCACATTTTCATTAACTGGTACATGATTTGCTACTATATCCTCCTTATTTTCCACAATTTCTGAAGCCCCTTCAGCTCTGGAGTCTGCAGAGTGAGATCTGGTTCTCTTGGGAACCCTGGAGGCGTCTAGTGCAAGAACCCTTTCTTGGTTAACATCTTCTTTTTGTTCTGGTTCTGGTGTTCTGGGGGCTTCGGGTTCTGGTGATACAACCACAGCGTTCTCTGAGGTAGCTCCATTCCACTCAAGAGATTTTGAAATCTGTGGGTCATGGTGAGGGACTCTTCTTTTGGAAATAAAACTTGGCTCTTTTGTGATTCCTACAAAATATAATATACAAAAATAGCAGATACCAAAGCATCAAGCTACAAAGACAACTTTTAATCACATGTATGAGAGGAGAAATGGAATTTAAAATTCAGTTGAGATACACAATATCCTTCCAGTTACGGGATTTAAAAAAGTACAGTTTTTCAACATAATATCTTTAATTTTGTTTTAAAGAAATATTAAACGTTTGACCATAATTTTTAAATTGAGGTCACAATGTTCGAGTTATCCTAACACAAGTTGCTAGAATCACAACGTGATGGACCTGGCAAGCCAGGTGGAATGTGTTGCCTCCGTTTCTAATTACTTTCCTGTGCTACTTTACAGAACAAAGGGCCCTGGTGCTGTCAAAATTTGGAACTTTTCACAAAGCTTCTCTTATGTACAGCAGACCAAGATGAGAAGGGGTGAGATGTCATTATGCTGGATCTTAGTTCTACATTTGCCTTGAGTTCCTGAGAAGTAAAGAGAATGAACCCTTTTCACAAGACCTAAGATACTATTTCTCTATATTTCTGTCTGGCAAGCAAATGTCCAAAAACTTAACCTTCTACCCAGGTAAGAGGAGCTCTGTGGAATGACAGTCACTGAGATACTGCCCTAGTTTGGAGCCATTCTTTAAAAAGAAAGAAGACAGTGCAGGGTGGGGTAGAGAAGAAAGATTAAGAATGGAAGAGAAGGGAAGGTAGACAGACAACCTGGCATTAGGTAAAACCAGAGCCCTTTAGCCTCTATCATGGATGTTCTGGCCATCAAACCCAGGGTCCCCACCCTTACAAGTCTGCCCTAGACCATGGTCTCCAAACTGGGTGCATATATATCTGGAGGCACAGAAAGACATTCTGTGCGGGGGCAGGAGCAGAAATGGGCAGCTTAAGGGAATCACTTTCCAGATCCTAACTTCCATGTGTGCTACTTCCTGACAGCCTAAGGGCTGCATCTGCCATCTGTAGTTTCCTTTCTCACCACTCCCTTCATAATCACCCTCTTCCCACTTCATACAAGAAAGACACGCCTCTCAACCACCCTATGGAATAAAAAAATTGTCATAGGTGGGGAGGACAAACAAAGGAACAATTCAAGAAAGCACAACTCCTGAGGAAGAGTATTTGGCAGCAAAGCAACAAAGGTAGAGATTAGAAATAACAAAAGAACAGTGCCTTATTTTATCCAGCACAACACCTTTTCCATCTACCTATCTTAGAATTAAAATTCAGGGTGTAAGACAGTCATTATGTGAAATGCATATATGCATATTAATGCATTTATGTGGACCAAAAAATAAAGTCAGACTTTTTTCTCACAGAAAATAATTCTAATTTACATGATTAGTTTTCTAATGAGGACTGACTTTACCAATTAAATGATGAACATTTACCATAAACTGAGCTCAATCGCTAGCTCCAAAATTGTAACAAAAGACATGTAAAACATATACACAATATTCAATATGCTAGAAATCATATCCTTTGAAACTATTCATTACACTTTTGATAAAAAAGAACTTAAATATCAACTTTAAAATGTGAACAGAGATAAGAGTTTCTAAATTCTTTTAGTGGGTATGAAAGCACAAAAGCTTGAAGACCACTGCCCCAGACTTCTCTCTTTAACACAGAGCAGGGCTGGTGGAAGAAGAGCAAAATGAAAAGGGAAGATTCTCAAGTGGTCCATCCTTGTCTCCTAGCACCGTGGAAAATACACTATGAGGAAAAATAAGCACAGAACGCCCAGCCAGCCTTCGGTAACACCGCTGCTGTTCCTTCTTGGCCCCCACCTCCCTTTCTGAGCAACCTGGAGTTCTCACTCTGCCCCTCCCCCTTACCTCCCTGTTAACAGGCCTCCCCCTAGACCATTCCTTCCTCACAAGGTACCATACTCCAAAGTGGCTCTCCTCCCACAGTCTCATTTCATCACCCCTACCCTCACATGTAGCTGATCCAAGCTAAAATGTTACATGGGGGCAACTATGTGGTTAACCAATGCCCCGTGTCATAACATCCCCCAAGGCCCTCAGTGGGCTAGCTACATTTTGAGAGATTTATGTTGGGATTCTTAATCTAATAGAGCCTCGAATCTGTGGAGTTTCTGGTCATTCGGAGAGGATTATGAGCACCACCCTGCCCAAGATGCAGTGACACCCAGTCTTTGAAGCCAGGCTCTGGGCAAAGGGTCCTGACAATTCAGAGGAATCCTAAAAGAACCACCCACTCTCATCCACTTTTCCCTTTGTTCTCCAAACCTAATCCTGGAAACACTCTCATCTTACTAATTTCCCAGGCTTGCCACCCCACATGTAAGTCTTTCTTCTCCTGGCTTCAAACATCTAAGTTGGAGGAACTTATATACTACACATCTGGCACTCTCACACATGTCACAGGTTGGGCACCAAGCACTCATCTGTATATATGCACCTAGCCCTTAAGAGGAACATCTCATTTCATCCCTCATAGGAATCCTGTGCAATGGGCTTCCCAACTCCCACTTGGTGAAACAGGCCCAATTTGCCCGAAGTCACACAGCAAATGTGGATTCAAACCCAGGTTTATTCATTCATTCAAAAATGAAGTTTAATAAACTCCAGAGTATGCCAAGGCCCTGTGTCATGTACTAAGCAGGAACAAGGTGGTGAAGACAGACAGAGCCCTGCTCTCAGAGATCTTATGTTCTAGTGAGGGAGAATTAAGCAAGCAGGTTGAATGGAATCAGTCTGTCTCTTTCCCCTTCTACCACACTCTGGGAAACCTTAGCCGAGGGTTCTAACTTCCCTGAGATACAGGGAGGAAGCATGTGTGATGACAAGAACATGGCCTCTGAACTCACAGGCTTTGAACAACACAGACTTGATTTCAAATCATGGTTCTGTCACTTATGAGTGTGAACCTTGGGCAAACTGCTTTATCTATCTAAGCTTCCATTCCTCAAGACCTTGGGAGTACCCCTCCCCACACTTGTCCACACTCAGCTTTCATGTCTCAGCTCCAATATCACTTCAAATAAGCCTTTCCTGACCACTGATTCTAAAGTGTATTCCCTCCAACCCACCCCTCCTTCCAGTTATCTATCACACCAGCCTACAATTTTATATAACAACCTGAAATCCCCTGGTTTATTTATTGAGTTACTTGTTTACTGTTTTCCCCACAGTTAAGGGTCTTTGCCTGGTTCAAAGTTATATTCCTAGAAGAGAGGAATAGTCATGGCCTACGGTAAACCCTCAATAAGTATTTGTTAAACAAACGAGTGAATCAACCAGGCCAACTGAACAATGCTTCACAAATTTTTTTCTTTTTTTGTGTGTGGTACGCGGGCCTCTCACTGTTGTGGCCTCTCCCGTTGCGGAGCACAGGCTCCGGACGCACAGGCTCAGCG